ATTAAGCGGCTACAGCAGAAAGCAGACTACTACGTGGAAATAGCTTCCTATCAAGGAAATCTGGGTTCTAGGTCCAGTCCTGCCTCTAATCTGCTGTGTGTCTTTAGGCATGCCTCTTATCTACTCTAGGCTCATCTGTAAAAGAAGTTCATCTATGGGGGAAAGAAGTCCATTGTCAATTGCAAAGTGCTATTTGAAAACATGGCTTTCTATTTGGTCTTGGACAGAAATTTATGTAAAATGGCTGAGAACTGAGGAATAGAGATACAAGACTCCAAAAAGGCATGTTTCTCAGAGTCTGTCTGAACTTCCTTGTAGCTCCGATAAAGCTGTCTGCTGGCTTTAGGAAGGCCTGCCAAAAGTGATAGCTATTTATGAAATAATTTACTTTGAGTGGTGTAAAAGCTCATGGTGGAAACCGCAGTCACACACACATCCTGTTTGAATTTCTCTGGGCACTGCTGGCTGTTCCATCATGGTCCTACTCGCTCAGAGGGTTGTGCAGGCGCTAGGGCAGGGTGGAGCAGCTCTTGCTTAAGGCCGGCTGAGTGCCAGCCTTCTCCTTCTGCAGTCCTGAAGAGGCACCCACAGGACCAGGAGAACCAATGTGTGATTCTGATCGATGCTCATTACTATGCCTGGAATCATGGCCCCCTGGAAGCCTGACACAATAGTAACCAGAGACAGAGATCCGAGCAGAGATGTAGAATAGTAATGGAGAAAGGGAAAACAGTTAAAAAGCCAGACATTGAAAAGGTAACCCTTTCACACAGCTCTGGAGACACGGTACCTTGAGCAGCAGCATCTCTAACCTCCACCGTGAATCATCTCTCCAACATCGTCTCCAGTAGAACCTCTTCTGGTGGTTCTTTCAAAGTCTCAATAGCGTGCCAGACACTATGCCAGGTGTTAGACACAGCTTACCCACCCCATTTCACCTTCTCAGCAGCCTTCTGATCGCAGTGATGTAGCTATTCTCGTTTTGAAAATGAGGGAACTGAAGCTCAGAAAACTTAAGAGACTTGCCCAAGGTCAGAGAGCTCTTTCTTGGAGCCAGCTAAAGCCCAGGCTCTCCAATGGGTCCTCAAACACCTCTACAAACACAACCCCCCTGCACTCTGCTTGGGGTAAGGAGATTTGCATGTCAGAGGGAGAGAGAAATTCCCCCACACAGCCTTGTTCTTTGGGCCAAGGACCTTGGGGTGGCTGGGGTAGGGTGTCTTAGGACAGAGCACATGGCAAGGCCCAGATTTGACTGGTTGGAGGAACTAGAGGCCAAGACAAGAATATTTGAAACTGGAAGGGGCCTCAGGTTCACGACCAGGGATTCTCAACAGAAGAGGGACTAGGGAGAGAAAAGGGTGTCAGGGCTGCATATTGGAGAAAAAAACTCTGACACCAGCTTTCCAGGAGAAAGAAGACTCAGCCCAACCCCATACTTCTATTCATGGGGAAACCGAGACTCAGAGAGGGAGGGAGGCTCCCCAACAAAGGTGTACTCTTGGGATCAAGCCATCCTGGAGTTAGTGTGCCCATGAACTGCGCATGTGAGCCGGCAGACTGAACACCCTCTGGCCAAAAATGACACGAGAAAGTGCTCATAGTTTTTCTTTCCTTTTTTTTTTTTTTTCTGTGTTGATGAAAATGTTGCAGAACAAAGAGAATCATAACGTCCACTTCCGTTTTCATAGCTAGTTTGCCATACTTCTGGCCTTTTGTCATTTCCACCAGTGATGGAAGTTCTTCTCCCTCCAGGAAGCTGATGAAGACAGTGTCCTTCTGGTGCCAGCATCCTACCCCCTCTAGCAGAGGTTGCCCAAGGTTCTCAGCTCAGACTTCTTTGTCCTGTTTCCTCTCCTTTCCCATTCTGAGACCCCAGTGCCTAAATCAGGACAATAGAGGCAGGAGAGGAAAATAGGTAAGGAGTGTCAACCAAGTAGATAGTGGTCGGCTGCCCACATAACCAGTCCAAGACGAGCTCAGCGGAGTCCTCCCCCTACATCCCCTCGTCTCTCTCAGGAGGATTATGTACAGGACTGTGTGGGTGCTGGGGGTGAGTGGTTGGTGGTTCTGGGGTTCCATAGAGCACCTCTGTATACCTAAGCAGGCCTGGGAGAAGAGGGGCGATAGGCATGGGCATCAACCCTAGACAGGCCTCCCAGGAGCCCTGGCGGTGGAGACAAGCAGAGCTGCCGTGGTCCAGCTCCAGCCCCCAACCAGCCAGATGCTAAATGGAGAACCTGATGTCAGGGTTGCTGGCCTGGGCTCTAGTCAGGTGGATCTGGTTTCAAATCTCAGTTCTGCCCCTAAAAGCTTCCCAGCACACTAGGTAAGGTCCTGAGCCCCTCTGAGGCCACTTCCTCCTCTGTATATTAACAAAGATCTGGCAAATAGTGAATACCTCCTATGTGCCAGGCACAGTAGCAAGTGAGAAAAAGCAGTTACATCCCTGGGGGGAGAGAGAGAGCTATTAATCAAATTATCACACAAATCCACATGACAGAGCTAAAAGGGATAATAAGAGGACCTGCTCCTAGGGGTGTTGTGTGGAGGGTTAAAGCAGCTGCATCTAAGCACATGGAATCCTTCAGGAAATGCCGGCTGTTATCATCCCAGCCCCTCAGATGCCATCTCCTGGAGTTGAAGGATTGTAAGAAAACTTTATGCTTTTCCACTGCTTTAAAGTTTTAAAAGCATTTTCCACACATTAACTTGTCCAGTCTTCCCAATAACCCTGGGAGGTACTTCATTTTCCCCAATTTCTTGAGGAGGCGTCTGAAACCCAGAGAGGTTTAGTGACTTCCTCAAAGGCTCCAGCAAGGAGATGCAGGGTTTTACACCCCCTCAGTTGTTAAAGGAAAGGGCTGGAAAACATTGAGCCCTGGGACAGGAGGGGGCGGGAAATGAGCCGGTGGGGTGAGGGGGTGGGTGTTCCCGGCCTCACTTTTAGCCGGGATGTGCTCTGGTGGCCCCCCACCCCCCACCCCGCTGCATGACTGCCCGCCCTTCCAGACCCGCGCTTCCAAGGCCGAGGATTCCTGGGGGACCACGGCCCGGGGCTGCGCGTCGTTCCCCTCCGGCCCAAGCTCCCGCGTCGGGAGGGGTCTGGGCCGGCTTTCTGCGGCTGGGACCCAGAGGCCATCCGGCAGGCAGCCCAGCCGGAGAGTGCGCTCCCTCCTGCCCCTCCGAACCCGGCGACACGGCCCCCACCACTCGCGTATCGGGACATCGGGGAGCTCCCGGGGGCGTCCCCTCCTCCGCCTTCTCGGGTTCCCGGGATGCTAGCAGCGCCCACTCATCTCCCCCTCAGGGCGCCAGGCAGGGACCGCAGCGCCCAAATCGCTATACCAGGAGCCTCCCTGCGCCGGGAGACGCCACCCCGACCCTTGTCCCGGGCTTCGGGCGGCGGCGTGAAGCGAGGGCAGAGGACGAAGACTCAAACACAAGGGGGCTGAATGCAAAGCAGGAGGAAGGGCTGAGAAGGGAACTGGCACGCGAGATTGTCGAGGGGTCTCTATGTCCCCACCCAGCGCCGCAATGTGGCTGTTTGGCTGGGAGTGTGGGCAGCCTGCCTGCCTTATCCCCCACCCCTGGGTCAGTTTAGACTCAGCCTCTGAGAACAGATAATCCCCCGCACCACACACACAACCAGGTGGGGATGGGGGCCTCGAAGGGGCAGGAGGTCGGGGTGCAGCTTTCACTAATGCACCTGACTTTGAGCCCTAGCCTCCATGTCTGTAAAACCAGGACAGAGAAGTGAAAGATTTCTCTAACTTAGGGCCGGCAGGAAGGGTGGTTCCGGTAGCCTGCACCGGACACGCGGCACCCATTGTTAGTTAATTGCGAGGTGTGTGTCTCCTTCCTGTGCGCCTCTCCACCCACTGCCACCACTAACAGGAAGGTAGAGCACCTTTTACTCTGCTCAGGAGATAAGGATACAATCCCTTTTGTTGCTACAGCACTTTACAGTTTGTAAACCCTTACTACATAGATTTCATTTGAACAGTATGTGAGTGAAACTGCCTGGGTTTGATTCCTGCCTCTGCCACTCACTGGCTGACGGCACTGGATGAACTTGGACAGCTTGCTTAGTTCTCTGTGCTTAGTTTTCTGGTCTATGAAATAGGACTAACACTAGAACTCATCTAGTTGGGTTATTGTGAGGCTGATACATACATGTACTGTGCTTGGTCCCTGCACCGTTAGCCAATTATGATTGAGCCTTTGCTGTGTCAAACTCAGAGCCTCCTTCATAGATGAACTGTCCAAACTTCTCCTCGTGTCAAAGGGGGAAGGAAACTTAAAGCAGCACTTCTCTGTTTACATGTGCACACAGCTACCCCGCTGATCTTGCTCAAATGCAAGATTTGGATTCAGTAGTTTGGATGGGAAGGGCGGGGTGGGGATGGGGGCTGAGATCTTGCAGGTCTGACCAGTTCCCTGATGCTGCTGCCACCAGAGCACCCTTTTAGCAAGGTCTTGGAGCAGTTTTTTAAACTTGACCATGTGTCAGGATCACCTGGAGGGCTTGTTAAAGCAGATCGCTGAGCCCCACTCCCAGAGTCTCTGATTCAGTAGGTCCGAGGTGAGGCCCGGAACTATTGTTTCTAACAGTTCTCAGGCGATGCTGATGTCGCTGTGGACAGAGAACCTCTGTTTTAGAGCATATTGCCCACAAGCTTACAGCCACGACTCATGTCAAGCTGGGGGACGGGCTGGGTGGTAGAGATCCTTAAACAGCCAAAAAAGCTTCTTGTGCTTTGGGAATAAAAAAGTTGGCGGGGGGGAGTGGAGGGGTGACACTTGAAGTTGGGAGCCAAAAAAACTTCCCCATTTTCAGGGAGTTAAAGGAAAGATAAAGGGACAATATGGGTTCTTTCTCAGCATCTTTAAAAATAAGAGAGATAGAGAAAGAACCTGTTCTGCCGCTTGAGGACAAAAGAAAGGGAACCGAGGCCTCCGTACCTCACATCTTCTTGTTTGGGTCCCTCTCTCCCCAGACAACCAGGAGAACCGAGGGAAACCAGAGGGCGGCAGCAAGGCCCGCAAGGAGAGGACGGCCTTTACCAAGGAGCAGCTGCGGGAGCTTGAGGCTGAGTTTGCTCACCATAACTACCTGACCCGGCTCCGGAGATATGAAATCGCTGTGAACCTGGACTTCTCGGGGC